ATATGTACAAGAGAGAACGATGAGAGCGGCCAGCCGGCGTTTGGCTGTTACCGTTTTTACGGGACTGCTTGAAGCGCCCCCTCGCACCCGTTTTTAATATCGGAACTAACTGCACACCCATTTTCTCTGGCAGGGTCGATAAAGTTTGTATTTGGTGCGAGTCCGTGCTACGCCCATATTTTCGTGTTAACACAGTATCACGTATTCATTCTGTATATGTGCGATCTTTTCTCTTTATTTATATATATATATATATATATATGTATTTATATAATTTGTATAAAAACTAAAATATAATTATAAAATATATATATATATGTATATGTGTAATGAATATATAAATCTTATTTTAATTAAAATAAAAAGAACGATTAATTGTTCGACCACCTGGATTTTGGAATGTAATTTTTAATATATATTATATTATATTTAATATTTATCGCCGCTTCTATTAATATGAAGTGCAATGTCAACGTGCAATAATGTACAATTATTTAAAGTTTCCATGCCTAATGTATCATGTATCATGCCGGTATAAAAGAACGTCAAGTAGCATGCGTAGCCGAGCAACTAAGATGACGAGCTGAAATCGTGGACATTTCAAGTTCAAACCCCTGCCTTTTTCAGATTTTTTTTTCACTTTTTTCAAATAAGTTATTATGTGTATAAATGTGTAATAATCAATATATCATTATTTGATAATTTTTTTGTAATGGAACAAAATAAATTATTTTTTAATTCTGCAAGGAATTTAATTATTAATGCAAACGCCCACACACATAATTTAGATATTCAATTTTTTTTAGTTCAAATGTTTCTTGCAATCTGTATACGACAATCAGTCCACTCGCTGTGCCACAGATTGCATCGCATAATACGCTCAGAGTTATAATACGATAGAGATCGCTTTACGCTGTTTTTCCTTGAAATAAATAAATTTTACGTGTTGTGTACGCGTGTTTAGTATATTTGTTTCTTTCATATTAATTTTAACTATAATTAGTTTTTAATTAAGATTATTTTAGTGTTAGTTGTTTATTTGTTAGTGTCCTGTTTTCTTTAATTTCGCATTTTTTAATTTTCTTTTTTTTTTGGTGTTGGTGCTAATTATTATTTTTATTTTACAATGTCGAGTAAACACCGGTTTTACGATAAATGTGTGTATTTAAATTGCACAAATATTAGGACAAAAGATGGAAAACGTTTATTTCGATTTCCATTACAAACGGGTGCGAGACATGATTTATGGTTACGCAATAGTGGTGAGTTTATAAAATTGATTTACTTATTTATATCAATATATAATATATATTGATATGATATATGAAACAAATATATATATATATTCTTTGTTTTTTTTAATAAAATATGTCAGATATTATGTATGTTTACGTATGGATTACGTTGAAGTGTTTCTTTGCCGCGTTTTTCTGATCTCGCCGAACGGTTCGCGAATCCTGTGCGAATAAAAAACGATGCGCGTGTGTGTGTGCGTGCGATTGTGATGATCAGTTTCAGTTCGTCTTCAACGCTTGACGAGAGAAGAGGTCCCGAACTGCTGTAAGTTTATAAAAACATATTTTTGTATAACACATTAGAACGATTTTATATTATTTTTTTTGTCTAGAAAACGTTATATTAATAACCGTTATGAAAACGATCTCGACGACGGCGACGATGCCGGTGACGACCGTCGTCGAGATCGTTTTCATAACGGTTATTAATATAACGTTTTCTAGACAAAAAAAATAATATAAAATCGTTCTAATGTGTTATACAAAAATATGTTTTTATAAACTTACAGCAGTTCGGGACCTCTTCTCTCGTCAAGCGTTGAAGACGAACTGAAACTGATCATCACAATCGCACGCACACACACACGCGCATCGTTTTTTATTCGCACAGGATTCGCGAACCGTTCGGCGAGATCAGAAAAACGCGGCAAAGAAACACTTCAACGTAATCCATACGTAAACATACATAATATCTGACATATTTTATTAAAAAAAACAAAGAATATATATATATATTTGTTTCATATATCATATCAATATATATTATATATTGATATAAATAAGTAAATCAATTTTATAAACTCACCACTATTGCGTAACCATAAATCATGTCTCGCACCCGTTTGTAATGGAAATCGAAATAAACGTTTTCCATCTTTTGTCCTAATATTTGTGCAATTTAAATACACACATTTATCGTAAAACCGGTGTTTACTCGACATTGTAAAATAAAAATAATAATTAGCACCAACACCAAAAAAAAAGAAAATTAAAAAATGCGAAATTAAAGAAAACAGGACACTAACAAATAAACAACTAACACTAAAATAATCTTAATTAAAAAACTAATTATAGTTAAAATTAATATGAAAGAAACAAATATACTAAACACGCGTACACAACACGTAAAATTTATTTATTTCAAGGAAAAACAGCGCGTACTAAGCGATCTCTATCGTATATAACTCTGAGCGTATTATGCGATGCAATCTGTGGCACAGCGAGTGGACTGATTGTCGTATACAGATTGCAAGAAACATTTGAACTAAAAAAAATTGAATATCTAAATTATGTGTGTGGGCGTTTGCATTAATAATTAAATTCCTTGCAGAATTAAAAAATAATTTATTTTGTTCCATTACAAAAAAAATTATCAAATAATGATATATTGATTATTACACATTTATACACATAATAACTTATTTGAAAAAAGTGAAAAAAAAATCTGAAAAAGGCAGGGGTTTGAACTTGAAATGTCCACGATTTCAGCTCGTCATCTTAGTTGCTCGGCTACGCATGCTACTTGACGTTCTTTTATACCGGCATGATACATTAGGCATGGAAACTTTAAATAATTGTACATTATTGCACGTTGACATTGCACTTCATATTAATAGAAGCGGCGATAAATATTAAATATAATATAATATATATTAAAAATTACATTCCAAAATCCAGGTGGTCGAACAATTAATCGTTCTTTTTATTTTAATTAAAATAAGATTTATATATTTCATTACACATATACATATATATATATATTTTAATAATTATATTTTAGTTTTTATACAAATTATATAAATACATATATATATATATATATATATATATATAAGAGAAAGATCGCACATATACAGAATGAATACGTGATACTGTGTTAACACGAAAATTATGGGCGTAGCACGGACTCGCACCAAATACAAACTTTATCGACCCTGCCAGAAAATGGGTGTGCAGTTAGTTCCGATATTAAAAACGGGTGCGAGGGGCGCTTCAAGCAGTCCCGTAAAAACGGTAACAGCCAAAACGCCGGCCTGGCCGCTCTCATCTTTCTCTCTGATATGTATAACCAGTAGCGGCACTTCATGTCGGTTCTTGATGTCAGTGTCCGAAATCATGTGACATGTCGCCATGTTCTTGATAGTAATAGCGCGCTTATATTTAAATTGTGAGAAAGAAAGGCAACTATATATAAACAATTATTTTTATAATTGTGCAGACAATTATTGTATAAATAACCACAATGTATATTTTCTTGAAATACATATTACATATGTAACATTAAAGTAACGCAAATAATCATATAAACATAAAAAAAGAAGAAATTTAACAAGTAATAGTATTAAAATATACCTATGTGTTATTTAATAAATTATTTTTTTATTATGTTTGTGTATTATTTAATGAATTATTTATATTAAACAAGTAACATATTTATTATTGCCATTTTATTTATAAACATATCGATGTACATTTAGATTATTTACAATTGAAATGTATATAATGTGTAAAATTACGATAAATTCGTGATCAATGATTCCAATTTTTTGTTATACTCTTCAAAATACGAAATCTCAAATTTTAGATGTATATAAAATTGATAATAAATAAATGTATATAACAATTCTATGTAATTTACAATTGGTTATAAAAGACTAATTTGTTTTATATTATCAGGTGTATTATTGTTTATCTGTTTAATGTACTTAAATTGATTTCTGTCTTGTTATTATGAATACGTATGAATACTTATAAGATAAGCTCCATTTTGTGGATAGGTATGTGTTGAATAATTGAACAGGAATTCAGTCACCTAGAAAACAATATTAATTATAAAATAAAACACTTTTTATTAATATTTTTAATATTATAATGTTTAGAAAAAACAAAAATTAGACATTTTCTGCATCTTTAACACACACACATATATATATATGTAGCAATTGTGCTCTAGAATAAATGTTATTGTAATTTTAGAAACAATTAAATTTTATATATACGTATATAGGAAATTGTCAAACAATTAATACCTTTCTGGATGAGATGGAAAGCGAAAAAAGCTCAAGTGACGACTGGAGCCGGAATTTTTATTGCAATCTTGCATTGCGCACGTGAAACCACCAACAACTACGCGACGTTCCATTATTATAACAATGTTTTTTAAAATATTTTCAGACCTAAAACTTAACAGAGTTCTTTAATTAACTTGAATTCATCAATAGGCTATATTTATTTTGATAAACACAACCACCACTTACTGTGTTTACAACTCACTGTACACCATATTGTGGATAGTAATCCAACGCATGCGCCGTAGCATTTCTCCGACGTTATTTTTCTTGAGTGACGCTACTGGTTATACATATACTGTGGTAATGTTGTATAATATAGTCAGATTTTGTACTATTTGAATTATCGTTATATCCACAATTCGATCGTCATTATTTCGTGTCATAAGCAAATTTAACCTATTATTCACAAACTTATTAATAATCCAACGAAAAAATTAATTTCGTGGACGCAAAGAACATCACGGTATGGCCAATAAGCCAATATAGATATATATGTCTTATTAATAATATTTGACGGAAAACAATTATTTGTCAATATCGATTTTACCTTAGAGATGTTTTTGATGAAAACGGTCGTCTGATAATAAAATTGCATGATGTACAAGACTAAAATAGTATTCTTTTTGTATTTAAAAGGATGATTGGAATGATATAATTATCTACCCGAGCAAGTGGGTTTCATAAACCGATCAGTTAACAGTATACCATTATGTCTAATCACATTAGTGTTCAAAAAATTAATCGCGTTATCCTTTTCAATTTCATGCGTAAATTTCAATCTCAGGTGATAATCATTAAAGGACGACCCAATTTCATCAACACCCCTCAGTGGGATGATCGTGAAAATATCATCCACATATCTAAAAACACCTACATGAATAAGCTAGCCGACAAAAATTATAAAATATGATTATTTTCACTTTTTCAAAATATATTTCGTTTGTAAATCGTTTGTGATTGATTGTGAGTCTGTTTTAGCGTTTGTGACAAATTAGGTTTTTGTAATTACCATACAGCACCGATAGATTGCAAAAAACATTACAACAATCTTTCACCGCAATATTGCAATATTGTAAATTCACTGCAAAATGTTGCTACATCATTGCTGTTGAATTGCAGCAATGTTAAAATGTCCGCTTTTTGGAAGATTGCAACAAAATATTACAACAATATTGCAATGTTATGAGTTTGCAATAATGCATTGTTATTGCAACCATAAACTAATGTTGCATATACAGGTATATAAATGTAAATAAATCATTAATGAAAATACGTTGTAGTTAAATGTTATCTATATTTTTGTTTATTGCAATGTAATCACAAATAAATATAATCACAGTCGATTATATATAATCACAATAAATAAATATTAATCACAGTTGATTATATAATCATAAATATAATCACAATCGATTAATCGAAACTTAAAGATAATTTTAAATTTGGCGTATGGGCTAGCATTAATTGCCCACTAGCTATAAAGAAACTTAAAGATAGTAACGACGTAGTTTGAACCATAAACTATATAATTCCAAACATAACATTTGAGCCTTAAAACATAGTTTGTTTTCAGTTAAGAGAACTTAAAAATAAAGATAAGGAATTATGTTAAAACAAATAAAGTAAATCATTGAACATAAAAAAAACTTAGAAAGAGCATTATAAATATTATAAACTTAACGAGGCTGATTTTCCTTTTCTGTTAAGGATCTGTAAAAATAAAATAATATTAAAATTCATATACTTACATAAAACCTCACCTACATAAATATATCAAAAGTATGTACGTATTACTCAAGATATTATACGTAGAATCCTCCTTGCCAAAATGTTTAGTAATATTCTCTGAAACAATATAGTAAAAATATTTTAATATAAAAACAGATTAATTTGCCTATATTTATTTGTATATAATGTGTTGTTTATACTATTACACATAATACAAAAACATATGCTTATTCTAGAGACAAAATCACATATATCCTCTCAAAATTTCAACTTGATTAGAACAGTAATAATTATATTTATCTATTATGTGCCTTTATATATTTTCTTATTTCAATATTTCTTGCTTTCTTTCTGGTTTTCTATTTCACAATATACAAATACATATTATCTGCAATGCGACAAATGTATATGCACAGTGCGAACTGTATAAATAGTTGAAACACTCATCACAAGTAAGAAATGATAATATAAAATATACACACATAAAGCACTAGCTACAGATTTATATATATTATATTACTTTTTATGTATTATAATTATTTATTTTAACTGCTGCCTATATTTACCTCTAAAGTATCTATAGTTTCATATTACTGTATCATAGAGATATGTACATATATCCCATAGCAAAATAGAAAATTAAATAAAGCAAAAATATTCACTTAAAAAATATACGAAGATATATCATAAATAAATATATAGTTTTTACTTTCCCAATCAGTCTCAGTCTCCTTGAGGTTATAGAGGTTATAGGTTTTTATTAACTTTGGGACAAGTAATTCTCTTTTATAATTACGAAATATAGATTTTAACTTTATAGTATATCGTTATAATTAAACATAGTATTATCAAAAAAATGCTTACCTTTTCCTTTACACAGCAAAACAAGTCAATGCGAGTTACTGTACACGTGATAACCACGAGTTGCAACGGTCTACGTCTACTACGTAGCGAAGCCGGCGCCTACTATACACGCACACATGTATTGCGCAGAGCGTTCGGCGCAGAAATTTAAGCCAATGATTTAATAAAATTATTGATTATCGTTAACATCTTTTATTGTACAATATTGCAAAAAATTATTTTATTACAGTATTATACCCAGCAAATACCAAGTTACAGTTATATAATTGTTAGTTGTAATTTTCCATTTTTGAGTGGGAATTACAACTAACAATTATATAGCTGTAATTTGGTGTTTGCTGGGTACATGTATATATATTACAATATATAAATTATAGAATTTGGATTACATGCAATATTTCCGAAATATTAATATCATGTTGCTACAAGTGTGCTGGAATTTTGTGCACCTATATCTCTGCAATGTCTTTATAATGTTGCATTGCAACTTGCAACATTGCAACGTTGCTGCAATATAATTGCAATAATCTGTGCTGTATGGGTAATAATTTTTTTTTAATCGTGAAGTTAGCCGACACTTTTTAGTAATAAACAGATTTTGTAATAATTAACAATTGTAATCGATAGAAAATCGTTTGTGATTGACAAATATATCAATATAATTGTTTGTGAGTTAATAATTTCTTTATTATAAATATTTTTTTTTGTAATACTATATACTTTATAATAATATATACTTATTACAAATAAATTAATCGGTCATAAATGTAGAAAATATACTCACATCGCAAACAATTTACAAGAAATATAAATTTTCAATAATAATATAACAGCTGCTCCAACAAATTAATAGCATTTTGCGATCTTTGTCCATAGAAAATAAAACATAGAACACAGAATGCTTCCCGCTAGTGTCCATCAAAAAAACGAAAGATGATTGGCTGCCGTGTCGACTTTCGTCGCGCGTAATGCATCGACGCGCTATTGACTAGAGCCCTAGTACTTTGCGCATGCGCACTATAATTATAAAATTATTTATTGCAAATAATAAAGAAATTATTAACTCACAAACAATTATATTGATATATTTGTAAATCACAAACGATTTCCTATCGATTACAATTATTAGTTATTACAAAATCTGTTTATTACTAAAAAGTGTCAGCTAACTTCACGATTAAAAAAAATTATTAATTACAAAAAAACCTAATTTGTCACAAACGTTAAAAACAAACTCACAATCAATCATAAACGATTTACAAACAAAATATATTCAGAAAAAGTGAAAATAATCATATTTTATAATTTTTGTCGGCTATATAGCTTTATGTAGGTCTTATGCGCTTATGTAATAGCGTTTTCGATTGGGAAAAAGTTAGTGCGCACCAGTGCGCACTCAGTTCATACGAACACTGGACAAGTTCCATGGGTTGCACTGAATAGTGCAGGTGAAAAAGAACACGCCGAAATTTTCAGTGCCACTTGAGTTGACTAGATTCCGGGAAGAACGAAAAAGTAACCTCGACATCTTGTGTTCAGTTAAGTAATGATTTTTATTATATGTAATTAAATATAGAAGATGATCAAGAATATCACGTATGACAAATATAAAAATTATTATTATTTAGTATAAAAATGCTATTACATTAAGTACATTAATTATATTTTAAAAAAGGGTATAGGTTCGATGTTTATATAAAAAGATATAACACTTATGGTGTCATTATCTATTTTTTTCACACATTCTACATAATTTACAGTTTTTGGAATTATTCTTCTAGTTCGAAGAGTTGTAATTATTTCTTCTTGCTCGCTTGAACTAGAAGAAGATTCCAAAAATGTCTTCAAAATATTAAAGAGAGCCAAATCCGAATTGCTCATTATGTCGAATTTTCGTTCAAAAGAATGCCCTACTGCTTGCATGCATCCAGTGCACTGAACTGGCACCGTCAAAATATCTCGTGCCACTTAGTGCGCACTGAGTGCGCACTATGCGAGTGTTGTGCGTTCAAACGAACACGCAACACTAGCCAAGTGCGCATTGGCACTACCAATCGAACACGCGCCTGACATTCAGTGCAGCCAGTGCACCCCAATCGAAAACGCTATAAGAGTCCCAGCTTATGCATAAGAAATTCGATTGGTTGAATTTCTTATACATACGTTTATAGACCAATCAAGATTATTATGCTTACGCTTGTGCGCCTATGCAAAAGTGTGTGCTCCCCGCTATATCCACTGAGAACATTCGTGGACATTGGCTATGTAGTTCATGTTCACGTTTTCTATGTTCACAGAAGGCATATCGCTTTTAGGGATCACCTAAAAGTGGGCCGTGACGTTTCTCAGTCTTATCTCTGGTTAGATGTAAAATAGATTGTTTATTCGTTATATCGAGAAAATTATGTAACATGTTATGTTAGTTATTTAAATTTTTTTAATCGCGAACAGCGATTAGCAGAAATAGCTTCACGTACAAGCTTTTTCAACGTATACTTCGTACTTGATCAACTTGTGCCTTTTGTGAATTATCTCTAATTTTATTATATTTTTACGATTTTATTAAAATAACAATAATTTCTTTCGAGAATATAGGCAACCGAAAATGAATCGTTTTGCAAAATCCTTAGGAGTAAGGAAACTCGTGATTATTTTATGAGGCAAGTCTTATGGTTATGTTGTCTGTTTTATCACTATTTATATAATGTTCACGATGATACATATTAAGCTTGTTCTACAATTGCGTAAACGTAGATGTGAGTGGTTGTACGGTATCGTAAAAAGCAGTTTTAAACCATTACTACACCGTTTACAAATAATAGTAATAGTTTACAACTGCTTTTTACAAACATCGTACAATCACTTACATCTACGTTTATGCAATTGTAGAACAGGCTTTACTTTACATGTGTGTAAAATATTGCATGTGCAAACGATAATGTTTTTCTTTATTCAGCACGCATTTTTGGGGTCCAGTTGCCAATTGGGCGATACCAATTGCTGCTATTAGCGATATCCGGCGAGATCCTAAATACATCAGTGGAAAAATGACTTTTGGTTAGTTCAATGATCCTTCAATATATTCTATTTTGTATAGTTATATGTTTTTGTATATTATTTAGAAGGGATAAATATTTGAAGAAATTTTATATTCGAATTTTATAGTATTTTATATTCATGTAATATTTAAAACACCACATATTTTAACTCAAAAAGTTAGGAGCAAATGTAATAAATATTTATTTATTTTCTTTATATATATGGGACATTTCACGAGAAAAGGTCCACATAAAAATACTGTTTAGGTTTTTAAAATAATCATGAAAACGTGTACACATGCATATTGTATGAGGCCCAAAAAAAGTTAAAATAAATATTATATGTCTTAAATCTAAGATATTGAAGATAGGATGTTTTAAGAAAGTTTTCTTTTTTTGACATTTGTAACTAAAATTATAAAATATACAAAATTTTAGATATGACTTTTTTTAGGATTTTTTAAATGCTTTTAGATAAAAAAGTTAATTTTTAGTGAAAAAAATGTAAGTGTGAAAAGGATTTTTTTTAGTTTTAAATAAACAAACGACAAATATTCACTTTTAAAAATCTGAAAAATTTTCAAAATTCTGCAATATATGTAGAATATATGGTTTTCATAAAGGAAATTTTGAGATTGCAATGGAATCTACTTGTAAACGAATATTTTTTTCAAACAATTTTAGCCAAATTTCAACTAAAATCTCAATGATATCAAATTTTTATTAATCTAATTATTTAAATTAAGAGTTTAACAAGGCTCTGTAATATAAATATAAATTTAAAGACAGGCAGTAAGAGCCAACTCGCGGATGACAGTGCGTTATCCTAACGAAACTAAATTTTCGTTAGGATTAAGTATCTGTGCACAAGGCACCAAATATTTTACTTGGTCACGGCCAAGATTTAAAATATGAAATAATCTCATATTTGAGATTTAATTTCAATAACCCTTTAAGGCACCAAATATTTTACTTGGTCACGGCCAAGATTTAAAATATGAAATAATCTCATATTTGAGATTTAATTTCAATAACCCTTTCACCCCCCTACGGAAATAATTATTTAATGCTATAATACATAAATAATATATTTTAAATAGTTATAAAATAAATAATTATGGAGTTTTTTTTAATATTTTAATTTTTTCTATATTTTTATATTAAAACGTTCTATTTTTTCAATATCTTGGATGTGAGGCATATAATATAAATTTTTTGAAGTTTTTTTTTAATCTCATACAATATGTGCACTAACACGTTTTCGTGATTATTTTATAAAAACCCAAGCAGTTTATTTTTAAGTGAACTCTTTTCGTGTGAAATGCCCCCCATATCACCGACGAGGTACTTTACTTCGTCAGTGCTCATACCATATACATATACATATATGTATAATATGCTTCATAAAGTGATACAACAGGCCTATTCTGTAATTTTTTTTAACGCTTGCATTATAATTATAATGCATGATTTACTAGAAAATTTATAATTTTATTGGTCCAAACTTAGTAAATTATGCATTATAATTTTAACGTAAACGTTAAAAAGTTGCAGAATAGACCTGCTGGAAAGTTGCAACTTTTGATGATGTTTTAGAGATATAATCGAAGACAAAAGTTAAGCGGGGAGCACACACTTTTGCATAAGTGCATTGGTCTATAAACGTATGTTTAGGAAATTCAACCAATCGAATTTCTTATGCTTATGCTTATGCATAAGAAATTCGATTGGTTGAATTTCTTATGCATACGTTTATAGACGAATCAAGATTCTTATGCTTACGGTTATGTGCCTATGCAAAAGTGTGTGCTCCCCGCTTTAGCAACGCTTTATGCACACGCTGTATACGTATTAAAAAAATTGCAATAGTTTAATTTCCAAGCACTCAGTTGTTTTCAACACGACCGAATGCTCGGTAATCGAAGAAAAAGCTAGAGTTTCAGTAAATTATTATTTTCTTCTAAATAGTTTAGTGAATGTTATTTGTATGTAATATAATGTAATTTTGCAACATTGTTCCTTCAATTATACATATAAAAAATTTGAAATACATGGTATTAGTTTTTCGATATTTTTTTAATATAATACAATCTATAATAACGAATCTACATAATAAATAAAGGTTTAATTTGACGGCTTCTGATTCTTTATGAACGTCGTACTGAATTATAACGAGAAATTAGAAGTCATGAATTTTTTTGCTGATATTCATTATAATAATTAATTTTTATATGCAGGCACTTGTGTTCAATAATATGGTTTAATAAAATAAACCGAAATTTTATTTATAAATTAATTATATATACATATATAATAATTGTAAATCTTGATCAACCATATAAAATCCATTTTTGCTGAAAATGTAAACAAATGTAAATGAATTATACATTATTATTTAGTAATGCAGCATATAAGGAAAAGAGAATTTTGGAAATTTATTAATTCATATATCAGTAAAACTCAGATAAATTTCACTTCTGTCCTTCTTTAACGTGGATGTTGGAGAAAGACAGAAGTGAGATTTATCTGAGTTTTGATGTAAATGGAAAGCAACTATATATTATTGAACACAATCGCGCATTTATAAAAAACTTTATTATACAAAATATTTTGCAAGAAAAAAATTAAAAAAATATAATATTTTTTACTTTCTATAATATGTCATAATTCAGCATGAGATCAATAAAAAATACTAGCGATCTTAAATTAAACAACTTTTATTAAATAATATTGTATAATATAGTTGTAATAAGAAGACAGAATCTTTAATAATGAAATCTATCCGATATACTTTAAGTTTGTCGTAATTTTGCAGAATTATTCTATTTATTATAAAATATACATTTTTTGTTAGTTTCCAAAATATTTTTCCTGATGTTTATCTTTTATATATACAATTATGTGTAAAATCATAGCACTGGTTGAAAAAAATGAGAGGAATTTGTATATTTCCTTCATCATCAAAAAGTGATTATTAAAGGATTTCCTGGTATTCGTCAATTTGTTCAAAAACAACAAAAGTCAGAATTTAAATTTAACGTATAAGACGGGCAACAAGAGCCAAATCGCGGATGACAATGCGTTGTTCTAACGAAACTAAATAATTTTTTGTTAGAATTAAATACCGGTGCACAAGGCACCAAATTTTACTTGGACACGGCCAAGATTTTAAATATGAAATTAATCTCATATTTAAAATCTTGGCCGTGTCCAAGTTAAAATTTGGTGCCTTGTGCACCGGTATTTAATTCTAACGAAAAATTATTTAGTTTCGTTAGAACAACGCATTGTCATCCGCGATTTGGCTCTTGTTGCCCGTCTTATACGTTAAATTTATATTTATATTACAGAGCCTTGTTAAAACTCTTATATAGTCAGAATTTAATCCTAGATATACAGTCAAGACAATTAAACATATAAGAAACATACAAATTCCCCTCATTTTTCCAACCGGTGCTATTATTTTGCACATAACTGCATATAGAAATTTTAAGAATGTTATCTTCGGAATTTCCCAATTTAATAAATTTTTTATTGAGAGAAATGTTGCAATATATAAACCACAGTACATGCTACAATTAATAGCTTTTCGAGATATTGATGTTTTAAATAATACTTTACCTCTAGATTACTCTAGAAAATGGGTTGAGCTAGATTGACAAAAGGATTCTTTCGCTCCCTGTGAATTTTGTTTTTTAATTTTTAATTTTGTTGAAAAAAAAAAATATATATATATATTTAATTTTTAAAGTTTTGCCAAGAGTTATTCTCGTAAAAAAATTATATTTTTTATGAAAAAAATAATTATACACACTAAAATCATATACAGGGTGTCACTTAATTGGCGTCCACTATTTACATAGCGATATTCCTCGTGGAAAACTGAGTCAAAAAGTCCTGAGCCATTTTTTTCTATAATGGATAATAAAGCTGTAATTACTAATAAAAAATGTTAAGTTATAATAATACTAATCATTATTACTAATACTGGTAAACCGCGCATGTGGCGGTGTGCGTGAGCGCACTATGCAAGGCGACTATACTTATGGCAAGGCGCTATCCTTTTACGCGCGCCTTTGACATGCCTTTTTATCGTTAATAATGAAAATTATTATGCATTATAGAAGAAAATGGCTCAGGACTTTTGACTCAGTTTTCCACGAAGAATATCGCTATGTAAATAGTGGGCGCTAATTAAGTAACACCCTGTATAATATAAGTATGAATAATAACACAATGTAAAATAAGGACTGTAAAATAAAAGCAAATATCGTAGGTGAAGACAAGAGTCAGAGTTGTGTTGAGATTACAAGAAATCCATTTTTTCGGTAAAAAATCTATTAAATAATTTATCAAATTGAGGGGCTTCGAAAATGACATTTTCACTGAGATTTTATATACAAGATTTTTAAAAAATTCAATAAAATCAGAACAATAACTTGACATCATGATTTTGTCACATAAAAATTATGCTTGTATTTTTAAATTTTATTAGTTTTATTCAACTGTAAAAATAGAGAATAAAAAATATGTGCTATAAATATTTATATAGTTTATATAGTCATAGAGTTTACAAAAATTATGAGATTCATAGCTTTTGGAAATTCTGGAATTATATCTGCCACTTACTAATATTAATTTTTTAAGATTCTATATTATATTTTTTTTCAGCCTTATGTCTATATTCAGCAATGTTCATGAGATTTGCCATCAAAGTGCAACCACGCAATATGCTTCTATTTGCCTGCCACTTTGTTAATGAAGGTGCACAAGTTACGCAAGGTTGTAGATTTATTAATCATCATTATCTAAATAAAAAGGAATGATAAATTAAGAAATAGATGATATCTGCTTGCCACAGAAAAATTTTATTAGTAAAAAATTATCATATATATGTAAAAAAGGGAAAGAGGAAGAGAGAGAGGGAGATGAATATTTGTTAAACTGTTAAACATACAAATATACATATAAAATACAAATATAAAAATGTTTGATTAACAATAAGTATATATATTTCAACCAAGTTTTTTATTAACTCTTTATCAATTTATTACTTTTATGAATAATGTGGATATATATATATATATATATATATATATATATATATATATATATATATTAAATAGTTTCAACTAAAAATGGTATATTTGTAATATATATATTTTTTATTTTCGAGTAAATTATAACATATAAGAACTTAAAATATATAAATTTATTTAAAAATCATAATTGTGATATAATTTCTGCAATTACACACATACAATTAAGAATATTAAAAATTTTTTTGTGATTTATCATTTATATATTATTATATATCATACTTTGTCCATATTCACTGCCTTTAAAATTATAAAAAAAAAGAATAGTTTCTAATAAAAAATATATGTAAATATTTTTAAATATACATATATAAAATCTTAAAAATTTTATACAAAAGATCCATTATATTCGGAGATTGTACTATGCGTATAGATATAAAAATGTAACAAGTTATTATTTATTATTGGCGTTACAAAAGTGTATTCAAAAACTTAATTTATAATCTTTTCATCTATCTATTTTTAGTGATATTAACTTAGCTTATATTTATATAATGGACGGCATAAATATTGTACTTGTTGATACAGAAATGTAACAATAATCTTGGTTTACAAAATCTTGTGTTTTATGAAGTATGTGAGTGTTTTATTTAAACACAATTATCGTTTTACTCTAATAGTTATAAGAAAATTCTTTCTTGAATAAAAATTGTTTCAAAAAATCTATGACTTAATAAAATATGACACTTTTTGTAATCCTTATAATAGGTACATGTGCCTTTAAAATTTAACCCTTTTTCTAAACACCATGTGTAAATATTTTTAATAATCTTCAGAACAATTTTTATTTAAAGAATTTTTTTATAATTTTATTAACTAAAAAATAATTAAGTGTCACATGTGTAATACTTAAGCAAAATATGATGAATATGTGTGTGTACATATATATATACATATATATAATATTTATCTTCTTTGAATTTGCAAAAATATTGTTAAAATTAATATGTACAATAATAATACCCAATTGGCTTGAATTGACGAAGCACCAGCTAATCGACATTTAAACATATCATACCTAAAATAACAATGCTTAAAATTAATAAAATTATTATCATTATTAAAATTAATCATAAAAATTATATCTCAATCAATCATAAAATCATTATTTTTCATGTATCATGTAATTATTAATAGATAACTTTAAATCCACAATAACTTAATAATAATTTTTAAATTATTATAAAGAAAGAAAATTATTATGAATACCTGGTTTCTTTATCAGCTACAATATTATTAAATTCAGCTTCGACTAATTGTCCATCATAATATGTAATTAAATCTTCAAATGGATATTCAAAGCCTTGCTTACATTCACATTTATATCCACCTGTCTCGAATCCTCTTCCAAGAATAGGTACACACTATCGAAATAAAAACTTAAAATAATTATCTGTATATAAATATGCAATACTGTATATAAAATAATCATGTGTGAAAAATTATTTGGAATTACAGTAAATTATATGTATTTCCTTTTAATATTTTCAAATTTATGCAGTGTCCCAGGATCACACTACATCTAATATCAGATTCTTTGAAGATTTTTTCTTAACAAAAATGTCGAGATTAATTTTTACAAGTTTTCAAATTTTTCCTATATATCTTTGTAAGTCTTTAAATAAAAATTCCATTAAAGTAAATTCTTATTAAATAAATTCTTGAAAAATTAAGTAAAGAAATATAATAATCTTTTAATTCCCATAAAGTTTAGTTTTACAAAAAGCTTTTCTTTTTTAATCGTTTATAACTCGAATATTGATATCTCGACATTTTCGAGGAAAAATCATCATCAAGTAATCTCAAAAATCTGTCATTAGCAGGCAATATCTCTGGGATATTTTATATAGTACATAATTTTAACATTATTGTTTAATATAATGCAATAATGACTTACATATGACGTCTTCCTATCACATTTGTGCGTATCTTTGAATGCGTTAGGTCGGTAAAATTTATCATCACATTGATTTATATCTACTTGAAGTAAGTCCATAGTAACAGCTACAATACCTCTGTAAATATCTCAATGTTAAATATAATCTTTCTCGTTTTTATGACTGGGAACTGGTTTCATGTCTCCATAGCGTTTCTTATATTGAATTGTTTTTTTACACATACTCTCACACACTCGCATATAAATACAGAAGGTCAAAATGATGTCAATTTGACGTTATATTAACTAAATATTGACCAAAAAATGATATAAATTTAGTCAATATGATGTCAAATTGACATGATTTTGACTTTTCTGTTCTCCTTGGGATACATACATATACAGGGTTTTCATTTTAATCTCCCTGGACAAATATTTCGAAATATATGGAAGATACGAAGAAAAAGCGTTTCATACAAAAATTTTATGATTACTTTGACAGGGACATAAGATGGTATTATTGGTTCAACCTTGGATAATCGTTTGAAGATTATATGAAGATCGCCTTCAATTTCTTAAATGGAAACCGCTATTTTTCAATGCATATTCTTGTAGTTTATCTCGAGAACTTTTCAAAACACTATAATAAAGTATTTTTCTCTTAAGTACTTCTAGAATTATAAAACTTAAAATATAAAATTTTTATATAAAATGTTAAATATTCAGTTTTCGAGAATTTACCTTAATACTTTTATGTATGGAATAATGAGACCAATCAATTGGTGAAAAGAAAACACAGTTGCTTTTAAAAAAAGCTACATGTTGCAAATTACATACTTTTTCCAATTATCTATTTTCTTATATTGTGTGTGTGTTATACACATATGTATATATGTGTACATACATGTACAGAAACATATGATCGCACAATGAGAACACTTACTTAAATTCCAGTTTCTCCTTCAAGCTATCCCAGCCGAAAAAGGGGGATGCATAGGTAATTACCCACTTCTTCACCTTGCCATTACAATCAAAATATGGAGTTGTCCAGTGTCCATGGTCTAAGTTTGCTGCCCTACACAGATAACCCATATTCTCATACATTAGAATAAATCACTTTAAAGATCGAATTTTCCTTATCCTCAAAGTAACATAATCCTTTTATACTTTAATGCTTTACTTATCATCACTTGAGAACATATTAATAAGCTATAATTTATAACCCGTCAATTTTGTGAACATACATTTTTCCTTACCTGTAAAAATTTGGGTAGTGTTCAAACTTTTTTAGGTGCTCTCCAGTTTCGTTGAATCGAATTTTTATCTTCATATAATATTTTTCCAACTGATCAAAGTTTGTCGCCCAACGTTGCTTTAATATTCGGAAGTAACTTTTCTTCGTATATACTTCATCTGTAATCATATAAATTGTAGCAAAAATCAAATTTAAATAAATCTTTAATATTTAAGAAATTGACATACTGAACGATTTACTAATGGAACAAATTTATAGTTAAAAATTTAAATATAATATATTCTATATATAATTTGTGTAGTTATTTTTGTCTTGTAACATGAATTTCCCTTTACCTGTATCATTAAGTCTGGCTAAGTCTTCGAGTTTAAATTTACGTGTATTTAATTGAGTCTTGTAAGCATATGGGGCAAAGAATGTCCTATTAGTAAATTTATTACGATCCCAAAAAACACTGGCCGACCATATCTTTGTATCGCCAAGTATTAGGGCTAAAGTTTCTCCTATCATTTGATCTTCCGTTAGCGGTCTGTCGGCTACTCTTTTCCCCGAATATACTTCTTGGGGATCGGATATTTGCATAAATGCACTGATGAAGTTTGCCAATCTGGTCGCCATTTTTGCTTCATTTTCAAAAAATTCTTCCGCACCGAAACTAATGTCACCGCGTAATACTAAATCCTGTGGTGCGTAACTAAAAATAAAATTCAGGAATGTTGTTCAAATTAAAATAAAATATAAATATATTTCAATATAATAGAAAAAAAATACAATAACCATACGTACTTCTTGCAAGTTCTCGAATTCATGCTCAAGATAAATTTGAGAACTTGATCAATGTTCATCTTTGTATCGTGAAGTGAGGCCGGACCAGTGGAATGATTCCTATAGTGATGATACTGTTCGAGATATTTTTCTCTAATATATGGTTTCGCTTTTTCCCATTGCACTGGCATTTTATGAATCCCTGCAAAATGAAATTCTTTTATTAAAGTTACTTTTTATCGATTAATACCTCAGAAAAAAAAGAAAAAACACATACAACCAATTCGCGAACAATCAAAACCATTATAATATTGTTCTTGCGTTGCTCTCTCCACTATTTCTCCAAGGAAAGGTCGTCGTATGACAGTCGGTAGTCTGTAACCAGGTCTACATCTACATTGATATCCCCCTCTTCTAAAGCCCCAACCATGTATTGGCTCGCACTGTAAATAAGACATGTATAGCAAAATATTGTATGTATGTACATACATACATATACAAGATGTTGAAAAAAAGGGTAAAATATTTTTAAGGGGATTTAATATGCTCAAAAACAAGTCGAAAAGTCTTAAGGGGATGCTGCCCTTGTTCTGTTTTACCGATTTTAAGTGGATTATATATAGATTCACTTTTTATTAAATATATAAATTGAAAAATCCTCCACAAGAAAAGTACTGATAATAATAAATGGGGAGCGCTGTCCTGCATTATAACTTTTGCTGTTTATGCCTTGACATCGATTCTGCATGCAAATATACATACATACATAATTAATTCAAGTACAAATCTTTTGATACAGACTTTTAATGTCATTTTTATTACTTCTGTATTACTCTTTCATATCATCTCTATTGGGAAGGCCATATTTTGTGCACAAATAAATTGCAAAACTTTTATATTAAATAACTATTATTATAAACTGATGCAAGAGGCTGGTAAAAAAACTATAATTTTTTAACTTTTATTGTTTCTTTATACGAAATTACAGCGCTCCCCGTCCATTATTATCAGTACTTTAATTGTGGAGAAAGATTTTTCAATCTGTATAGCCAATAAAAAGAAAAGCCCTTGAACTCAAAGTCGATAAAGCAGTCATGGTCAGCATCCCTTTAATAAAATATTTGGGTCCGCAAATAAACCATTTTTTGAGATACTTTTATTTTTATATTTTATGCCTGTGATAGATAATAGATACATTAAATTAAATTGTAATATTATATGAGATGTTGCAAATATCTCAAAAATTGTTCATTTGCAGACCCATGTTTATTAAGCTTAATTTATATTAAGACATACTAAATTCTCTTAAAATATTTTACCTTTTTTCAACATCCTGTATATAGATATTGTGTGTATATACATATATATATTGATTTATTGAATATGAATTAATATAGTCGAATATTGCTAGTTAAATATTTTTTCCTTTTTCTTCTTTGCAACCTTTTAACTTGTATGAAATATTTTATTGTTATTGCCACATTTTTAGTAATATGTTAAATCAATTAAAGTTACACACACACACACACACACACACACACACACACACACACACACACACACACATATATATATATATAATTTTATTTTATATAATATTATTAATTAAAAACATATTATATTGATTTAATTTTAACACATACAATATATATATATATGTATAATAAATATATAATAAATATAATTTTTTTAAAATTTATATAAGAGTATTTGTGAATATACCTCTGTAGTATCAGTTTTGCATCTTGCAGTATTGGCAAATCTATTAGGACCACTGTTCCCTTTACCTTTGGGACATTGATTTATATCTATTCTGTCAAAGTCCATTTCCATCACAGAGACAGCAGTATACCTAACACATTTTTATGTTATTACAATATATAAACTTATTGTATTATTATATATAATGTATTATTAATGTAATATATATGTACGTTGGATATTCAATATGTCTGAAACCAGTATGCCGTGGATAAATATCTGCTATAGGTGATACTGCAGCCACAATCCATCTATTTGATCGACCGCAATCGAAATATGGCCTTGTCCATTTTACAGGTCCAGGATATTCATCGGCACCTGCAATGTAAATTAATAATGAAAAAAATAGGCACAAGATTTGAGATTGTCGAAATGTTTTCTGTTTTTGAATTCTTGTTTTTACCAGGTGGACCATGGAAAGTAAATGTTTCATTTGTATTATTAGCATAACGAATTTCAACTTGATAAGTTGTTTTAGTATCGTGTCTTTTCTCCACATTATCCGGTAACCATTTCTTGTACCTGCAAGTAAAACATAGGATAAAATATATGAATTAATATTGATGAATCAAATTTATTGCAAATTATATATAAAGTAGTTGTTTTTATCAAATTTAAAGGACCCTGCACTAAACCATGTGAAATTGGGCTTTGGCTGAATTTGAAATATGTTGTATCTTTTGGATCACTGAACAAACGTTTCTTCAGACAAAATGTCAAAAAATGGACAGTTTCGTCATTTCAACCCTTCAGAAGCCTGAGATCAGACCAGCAAAGATATCACTTTTGGATCAATGCGGTTATCATTATAAAGGAACGATATGAATATTTAGTTAACAAAATAATTAAAGAATAATTTGTTTATGACAGTATTGTTTAAACAATTTAAAAATGTCTTTGTTTACAAGAACTTATTATTCCTGATTTAAATTCTGTGGGAAAAATCACAATGCAGTGTTTTCCTATATAATGCATTATTTGTTTTAAAATAAGCAATAAACAAATGGTTCATAGTAAAATCTATTCCATTAGCCTTAGTTATAAAAAATTAATACTGTTAAATAGAAACAATAATATTAAGTACATTTTCATTACACCTGCGATTAGCCTATGTTATAGTTACCAAAGTCAACAATATTTTATATTGTACTCTCAAATTATTCTTTCTAAAGTAAAAAATTGCAAAATACCATTCGTTTATACGATAGAAATCAGTAGTGTAGTCATCGCTGAGTCTGGTAGTGGGAAATGCTCCTAAATCTTGTACTGTGAATGTATTCCTGGTGGATATCCTCTCCAAATGTATAGGATCATTGAAGTCATCCGCTCTGAAGGTTCGCGGTGCAAATCTGGGAAAGGTTTTATTGAAGAAACCCCTGTAGGACGGAGAATAGGACATATTGGGCGAGAAGTAAATGGCCGAGGCGTTGATGTAAGGATTGGAGGAGATATCTGCCACCGTGGACAGAAAGTAGTACATCATGCCCGGATCGTAAGTGTCATTGATCGCCGGTCGGATGAAACGCGACTGAAGTATGTAACTCCAGAAGAAGCTTCTGCTAAGGGCCATGTTGTGCAGATGCAAGAGAGCGGTGCGATTCGGAAACACCGGATTGATATTGATGTCCTTGATGTCGGGCAGATGTGACACCGCGTCCTCCGGCAGATACAGATCCCCGAGGTGCTGAATCTGACAGTTGTCCTCGTACACCTTGTCCATTCGCATGCGAATCTCGTCGAAGGCGTCGCGAGTCTGCCATTCGTACTGACCGACCACGACAACGCCCAAAAGGTAGTACAACCAGGAAGCGACGATAATCGGCATCATCGCGCGAGGAAGAGTAATCATATTTTTTAAATCTAAAGGCACTTTTTATAAAACACTTTGTGGTAGCTTCAATGAACACCTGGCATCTTCTCGCACCTTCCTTCTCTTCGTGTTTTGTGTCTTTCTTCTCTTTCGTTTCTATCAGAAATTATACTCTACAATTTGTAGATTTATTATTATATTTCATAATAAATTGAACACAGCTTTGTTATAATCTTTAGTATTTTAATACGTTGACACGTTGTAAGGACGGAATTGATTTGTATTAAATACTTTTACGATAGACGGCTCTCTCGATCGAATCACACGACGAACGTTTGGTTTGGAATAACACGCCCAATCTAGCGGATGTATGTTTCATAAGCTGCTCCGATGGTGACGTCATTACTCATGTATACCGCGTTAATAGGTTAGTTCGTTGTACCACTAAACTTCTTGTACTTTTTGTTTTGGCCTATCTTTTTCTATTCTCTCTAACTTTTACTAAATCTATCTCATTTTTATACTATAAAGAACAAACAAAATTCAATTTAATTTTTATATATTTATATACACTTGTAAAAATTAGAGGAATAAAAAGTAAAAATTAAAAGAAATACTTTTGTCTTTCTTAAAAACTAAGCAAAATTCAGACAATAGCAACTTTTAAAACGAACAAAATTTAAATAATTTAAAAAAATTTCAAAGCTTAAAATCTCTTATATACTTTTAAAAGGTCACTTTTTTGAGTTTCTGTGAGTTTATTAATTTTTACATATAAAAATTCATGAGTTGGATATATGGAAAATTTTCGTTTAATTTTATATATATATATATATATATATATATATATATATATATATATATATATACACAGGGTGTCCGGTAACTAACGGACCAACGATTACAAAATGGATTCTTTGGTCAATTTATATAGGAACAATTTTTCCTCAGTGAAAATGTCGAAAAAGGTCATCATTTTTTACAACTTTCCAATATTTGTCAGTATGTATCTTTATAACTATAAGCTTCAAATTAAAATTTTATTATAATAAACTCTATCTGAAATTAATTGAAGAATGTAATTATGTTAGACTTTTAACTCCAAAACGTTTAGTTTTCAAAAAATCTATTTTTTTCAATTGCTTATAACTCGAAAATTATTGACTTCTCAACATTTTTGCTAAGAAAAAATCGTCTCCAAATTGGCCAGAGAATCCGCCCTTAATCATTGGTTCGTTAATTACCGGACATCCTGTATATTTCACGTCAAATTGGCCAACCCCATTGAGAAATGATTGGTCGAATCATCATCGATTCGACATTGATTCGACGAATTTGACATCGATTCAAAAACGAATCGACGTCGATTCGACCATCATTTCTCACTGGACCCCCCTCCCCTCTCCGCGCAAAATTGTATTGAAGTAAATTTAACTTTCAAGGTATCAAAATTTAGCTTGAATTATCTAATTTTTCATGCCGTGTGGCAATTTTGAAAAATGTTAAATAATGACATTGGTTTTGTCAGTTATATAGAAAATGGTAATATATTTGGACACCGATGAGGTACTAAAGACCGATGGTCTTACGGGAGTTGCGTCGTCTACTAAATAGTAGTACCCACGGTCTTATATACAAGTCAGGACCACAGATTAATAGACAGATCGCTAAAGGTTCGTCTAAAAAAGAGACCGTTATTTTTGCCCCTTACCGACACACTTTGCCTCTGGTTCGAGTCCAGGCTAATAAAATCCTTTGATTACCAAAAAACTGTGCTTCTGATGCGAATTCAGGTTAAAATCTTTTGATTTTACACGTATAATCAAAGGATTTTAACTTGAACTCGCACCAGAGGCAAAGTTTTTTGGTAAAATCAAAGGATTTTATTAGCCTGGACTCGAACCAGGGGCAAAGTGCGTCGGTAAGGGGCAAAAATGACGGTCTCCTCTTTAGACAGGCCTTTGGCGATCTGTCTATTAATCTGTGCTTTTATCTATATCAATTACATACTTTCAAGCGTGACAAAATGTAACTAATATGGCTGCCAGCTCAGGCAAATTTATTCAATGTGCACAAGTGCAGATCTTTTTCTTTATTTTGACAGTTGTGTTAGACCTTGCGCACAAGTTAGAAATAAACATGGTTAAAAAATCGTCGCAATAAATATTAAATATTAAGAATAAACATTTTCGCAGTCACCTTATTATTTGGAGTAACATAATAAATATACAAAGATGAAAGTGGCAACATATGTACTTGCTGAGGTAAGATATGTTAATATATGTCCTTCAATCTATTGTACATCAAATATATGGATAAATATTTTATTATAACTAAAATATACCAAAGCTCTTTTAAGTTAAAATAAATTTGGGAAGTCAAATGGCAATGAGAGCCACACGCGATAATTAAGGCGCAAATATTTATTTGTCATTCAAAATTAAAAAATTAAAAAACTTTCGCGAACTTTACGGATCTATATTATATACTATACTTTATCTATATTATATTATACTATATTATCTGCTAATTACAGGCCTGAGTTGGCTGTCATATTATAGTTACATTTTTATACACTTTATTATTCAATGAGTCTGTATATAAGACCGTGGTAGGTGGTACCTGTCGGTACGGTGTCGGTAATTATCAAATTCTTATATTTTATATATATAAATACTCAAATATATATATATATATATATATATATATATATATTAATTATTATGTTGAATATAAACTATATATATATAGTTTATATTCAACATAATTAATATAATTCTTTCCAAGTCTAGTGTGTTGTTGAGGAAAGAAATGTTGATCGTGAAAATTACACAACGTCCGAGTACATATAATTGTTTTTTTAATCGATAGGAGTTTAAACATAAGATTATCATAAAAATAATTTACGAAACTTTATTCACGTAGACAAGGACATTTTTCCAAATGAATTAAAGAACAAATATATTATATCACAGAAAAAAAGGAATCTTTGATTCAAGTATATTTTTATTCTTGAACGCTATTTGATTGATTTAAGCATAGAATGCTCTTTGTAATCACAAATTTTCATTTGCCTTAATAATAAATAAGTTTGTGTGAAGTATATTTTATCCTTAAGATATATTCTTGTTTTAAAAATCGCATATGGTAAAAACAAACTTAGTCACATTTGAACTATTAAAATTATTACATATACTTGAAAGTACCGCTTATATCCGATGCTCACTTGTCACTTGTCCTTGCAATATTTATAAGTAAATTTCAGTTTCAACCAAGAATATTTTGCACTTTGTTTCAAGGATAAATTATCCTTTATTCAAAATTATTTATGTTTGGCGCTATTATAAGGATAAAATTAATATACTTGAATCAAGGCATATTTGCATTCTTTCAAGGATACTGTTTTTTCTGTGATAAGATCCTGCAAAAATTGAGATTTTTTATGTCGGACAAATAGACTTAAAAACACGATATTGGCAGAACACGATAATTATATTAAGAGAAATAATATAATTATAATATAATATAACAGCACAGTAGTTTGTCATTATAGAAGCACAAATTGATCGATTAATCGTATGAGTTTGCATAAGAATGTAAAAATCTTGGATGAGCAACTCATAGAAAAGCGATTGATGTCGGAGATGATATATTCACATTAAGAGACAAAAAACCAGTCTGACAATGAGCATACCATAATGATACGAAATAAAGTCTGCATCATCATGCTATCTCGCGTTGGTAGAGAATGTGTCGAAAGTTTAAACTCGACAATCACTGTTGATCTATTGTACTCATCTCAACTCAGAAAATTTAGAACAATGTTCAAGCTTATACATTGTAAAAACCATAAATATACATTCGGTTATTTAATTGACAATTAAGTTCCGACTTTTGTCGGATATTCCATTGGGTATATTCAAACGATGAATTATCAAGTAAATATCTCGTATAGTAAGCAAGCTGGAAAAAATGTCTCAAACAAAAGTTTTTTGACTATATAAGGGGGACATAAGATGGTGTAATTGATTCGAACTGAACATTTTACAAGATATTTTACATTTTATGCCAAAAAATTGTAAACTTTAAACTTTTATAATTTGAAAAGTACTTCATCAAACAACACTTTATTATAGATTTTTGGAAAGCTCTTTAGATAAGCTATAAGAATATGTAATGAAAAATAGCAGGTTCCATTTAAGAAATTGGAGGTGACCTTCACGTAACCTTTAAATGATTATATAAGGTCAAATCAATATATAACACCATTTTATGTTCCCCTCATAGTCAAAAAACTTTTGTTCGAAACATTTTTTTCCATCTTGCTTACTATACGAGATATTTACGTGCGTTGATTAAAATGGCTCACCCTGTATATAGACTATTTATTTAAAATATTGTTTTTATTAATTTTGATCATACATTACTGACAACTTTTTTGCAGAATTGGTTCAACATATCCCGCGCTTATCAAGTTATATAAGTTAGATTAGTTTCATATTTCCAGGTTTTTGTTTCAAATTTTCAATACAAGCTGATCAAATTAATCGGTCTGGAAAAAAATCTGCTTTTCATCCAATAAAGATCTTCTGCATTATACAGGGTGTTCCATAAGAAATTGCTGAAACTAATCAGCTGTCATTTTTTAATGCATGCAGTTATTGAGAAAACAAAAATTGTGTTGGACAACACAATTTTTGTTGGACAACACAATTTTTGTTTTCTCAATAACTGTATGCATTAAAAAATGACAGCTGATTAGTTTCAGCAATTTCCTATGAGACACCCTGTATGTTTCGTCATCTCACCACAGGACGATGTTCTCGAATATCCCGCATATTCTTGAATTCTACCGGGTGCGCAGAAATAAAGAAATGCACTTCCTTTACTACGTGCATAAGAATAGTTCCCAAAGCGTAAGAAGAAAACAAAAGTATGACTTAATGTGAGATAACATTTAGACGACCTTTATTATGATAATCCATATAGCGCCCTGGTCCAACGACCCCTCTTGGGGGAAACCGGGCTCCGCCTTTACCTCCTCTGCTCCTCCTTTTTTCGGCCGAATTACGCACGGCTGTTCTGCCAAGCGATGGTTATTGTCCTGTAATACAGGTTCACCCCTATTTATCCCTGAAAAAGGGAGAATTTCTCTCAGAGGCGAAACGAGTTTGCGCGAAAGCGAGTAAGGAGAAGACAGCACGACTCGCTGAGGATCTGCTGGGGGGCCAATGTTAATGCCACACTGTTTATGCTAGCTTGTGAGGGGAGGTGGGGGTCTCTCCTGAGAAAAATCTTCCTCACTGTCTGCATTCGTGGTGTGGATCGCCGATATTAACGTGGGAAACAAACCGAACTTGCACAGCGCGGTCATTAAATATTGTCGTCAGGAAAAATTCTCGTCGTCTCCTCTCT